GAGAGATGGGTTGGGGTTCGCCTTCCCAACCGAAGAGATACACCTCTACGCGGTGGTTGGGACAAGTAAGAGATTTAGTCTCTGAAACGAAGTATCTCTCTTTTTTTTTTTTTTTTTTTTTTTTTTTTTGTATAATATTTAATAATTTAACGATAAATAAAAGTTTATTAAATAAATGTATAAAATGTTGTAAATGTATATAATGTAATAAATATATTAAATAATAAAAATGAAATAAAATTTGGTTAAAAAATATTTAATATGAAAAGTATATAATTTTACGTGATATCAGTTAAATTTTTTTTATCCTATGTTGTGTGTCAAATTAATATTGTATATATGCCGTAGAAACAGTTGCAGCTGTGCCGAAAGTGTTTTGACATCAATCTTTCAGCGAAAATAAAGCCGCAAGCAATGCCGAAATCTAATATATAAAATATAAAAATTAACGTTAATTGTCACAATTTTTGTCTTATCATAGTTTTTACATTCGGTAGCTCTAAATCCAGGGCCGATGATTTTCTGTGGAAAATCTAAATTCCGTGATTAAAATTATGAATTCTGCGTTGGTTACAAGTATTTTCGAACCTTCTGAACAACTTTACTTAGTTTCATTTGAATTACATATTGAATTTACTCTATTATTCAAAAAAATCAGATTATGAAAAATAATCGAAGTTTCGTAAATACATAATCAAATTTCATGAAAATTATAAGTATCACAATAAAATTTTATTTGATTAAATTATCAAAATAATGTATCATATCCATTATATAATTTAAAGAATAGTAATGTAAAAGTTAGATCTGAAATGCAAATAATAAAACCTTACCTTTTTCTTCAGGCTTCATTTATTACTTTTACAAAAAAACGGATCTTGAGGATCATTAGGAATTATCAAAAACTAGATATCTTAAACTGCTATCTAAAAACGTCGATCGAAGAAATTGAATAAAGATAAACGTAAAACAAATGTTAGTAGCTGGTTTCATGATGCAGTTTATCTATGAAAATCTGTTATACAGAAATTCAATAATTATTTATTGCGATAGGTCAAAATTTGTGTATTTTTTAATTTTTTATTATTTTTTTATTTTTTTTAGGATTGGGGATGGATTAATTAATAAAGAGTAAAAGTAGATTTTAATATGTTCAAATAAAGATCCAATTTCAGAATCAGCTGCGATGATAAACATGTAAAACCAAATTAATATTTTTTTATAACACGTAATCCATAGTTTATCAAATCTATATTCAAAAAAAGATAAAATCGGTCTAAATTCTATAGGAAATTAATAACTCTTAGTGTGAACCACACTTGGTCCATGCTCATTGTAATCGACTTTATTAATAAAACCTTTAGGATCAGGGAAAAAAAACTTAAAGAGTGAAAACATAAAAACGCGTAAATATAGATTCTCTTAAATTTATAATTGCAATTAATTGAATAATAAACTTACTTTAGCTGTAATGGCAGCACCTAAATATCCAGCTAATTCAGGTTTTTCTTGAGAGTTGAAAAATACTCTGGTAATTTTAAAAATTTTGCTTCTTTAATTTGGTATTCGCCAGCATTGTCCGAAAAATAAAGATATACATTTAACTCTTTTCCAAGACGATCTTTGAAGCCTGATACATTCCACAACAAAATAAATAAATATTAATGATACTATAATTAATTATCCAGGTCCATTAAAATACACCATAGGTGTTAAGCACCATGTTATAGTTGCTATATCACTCCAGATAAAATTACTCAACACCTCCAGAAGCTTTTCTCTAACTCTTACCCTCCCAACTTCTAATCCTAAATCTAAATATTATCGGTAAAAATCTTTAATACAAATAATAAATATAATAAAAACATATATATATGTGTGGTATTGAACACAATAGGTGCATTTTGTATTTTTTTTAACCGACAATAGATCCAATATATAAACGACGCAATAAAAATTAAAAAAAGATACATACCTTTAAGTAAAAGATGATCCACCAGTAAAAGCAATATTCTCTCATAACACATTTCGTTTGTCTGGTTCACAATGAGATATTGCCTGATAAATCGCCTCAGGTAAAGAGAGAATACCCTCTTTTTCATTAAAAGAGGGTTAAAAATTGGTTCGACAACTTGAAAACGTTCAGGGCCAATTGTAATCTGTTTTATTAATATAATATTGAATATATGATAAAACATAATGTATAAATTTGTAGTATAAGACAGACCTTCTTTCCATTGAATTAAATTTCTATTCTATCTGGCCTATCTTCTATGAAATCAATATCTGGAAGAACCTCACAAGTATTGTCAGGCTCTTTGAGTATTCTTGCGACTTCAATATCTGGTGTTTCACCATATTCCATTAAGAATTGGATGTCAGATAACAGCAATGAAAGAAAATATTCATCAAAATCTTGACCAGCGATTGGTATCGTTATAGCAGCGTGATATTGGACGGAGCAATCAATTATTGGTGTAATTTCTAGTTAAGATTTATTAGTGTTAATTATCTATAAAAGTAGGTACTTAAAAAAATTCTACCAATTTATGCATACCAGTTTTACCATATCCAACATCAATTACAAGACCACTAAGACAACCGATGCCATATAGGGTCATCAGGGCTTGATTAGCAATATAAAGTCCAGGTGCATTAAAAGTTTCAAAAAAAATATGAGCTATTCGTTCAAAATGTTCTTTTGTCCAACTGTTAGGAACTGTAACAAGCACAGGACATTCGTTACGAGCTCTTTTGATATTTAATTCCTTCAAAATAATGTGACGCCTATCAATAATAATAATAATAATAATAAATGAATGAAATTCATTGTTAAATAACAATTAATAAAAATATCACTCATTTGGTTTCATATATTAATTACCATAAAGCTTCTAATTCTTCCCAATTAACTATCACCCCACGTTGTATCGGAAATGACGATACAGTATTGTTGTTGCTTTCTTTAAGTTCCTTTAATTGAGATCCACATATATAAGTTGGTTCTTTTACAGTTACTTTCGAAGTTGTATTATCAGGTGAATTTGGACCGGAATTATCAGAAATAGAAGAGATCTCCTGTTGACCAAAATTTTCATTTTGTTTATCCAAGTCACTTTCAGCCTGCTTGGCAACTTCTGTAAGAATTATCTAAAAAAAAAAAATGAATTTAACTTTTTGAATTCCAGTTAATGCATATATATCACGATAAAATGATTTATTACCACTGATGGACTCTGGTTAGTATCGCTAACACCAATTCCCGCTTTTGTTCTCCACGATCCATTCTCGATAATCACATAATTTTCTTCTTTAAGAGTGAAATGCATTTACGTTACGAGTTGCCGAGTACATCTATGTACCCCCCTCCAAATTCGGTGTGCTGTTTAGAAGACATTCATTTTGATTGGCTAATTTACATAGATCCAATCAAATCGATCAAAAAAATGGCGGGTTAAGCTGTACGAGCATACTTTTTAATTTATAAGTGCAAACATTTGAAGGTCAGAGATAGTTACCTCACACGTCATGTAAATTTGAATAGCACAATCTTATTTTAACGAAGCACACACTAGGCACACTAATTGTATAACACTTTCCTTCCAATAACCAAATCATGTGAGGTGCATTAGTAACAAATGAGTGATGGAAAGAGAAAACTCGTAAATTGATTCACTGCTTTTCATCTTATCTCGGCATTGAAGAATCTAATCTTACGTGATTAGCTCTTACCGTCAATTTTTTAATAAATCCGTTCGATGTCCAAGCAATACGCGTTATGTATAATAACGACTACGTAAAACGATTAGGTGTGTACATGTTTGGTTATACGTAATCATTGTGGTCTAGTCTAATAAGGCGAACGTTAGATATGCATAAAATAGATCGGCAAATATTTACTAACATTAAAAAATCGATTCACCTCGTGTACAAACTTTCTACGTAGCAATTTTTTGTAGCAAACGATTTGCATAACATAAAAGAGAATTTCGGTAATTGGGTATTTTAAACATTGCAAGAACCAATGAAAAAATAGTGTATCTTAAAAAAAAAATTTTTTTTGACCAATTTTTATAAGGAATGATTCGCATAACGATAATATGATAAAAAAAAGAATTCTATGGTATATATATATATATATATATTAATTATATATTTTTAATGAAAAAAAAATAATTAATATTGTACTTTTATATTAAAAGCAGTATACAGTATATTGTATTTTTTTTAAAAAAAATTACTCAAGAAATATATCTGTTGTAAGTGAATTTAAGTAGATTCGGGATTTTTAGTTAAAATAGGGTTATGTTTATATATGATAAAATCTACACAAAAGTCCTAGTTTAACTAAAGAATTCTGAATCCACATAAATTCTGTTTCCACTTATATATAATAATTGAAAAAAAACAATAAATTTGAAAACCAATTATATTATTTTAATTAAAAAAGAATAAAAAACAAAACTATACTTGTATGTAAAAAAATTATACAGTTTTCGAAGTAAATTGAACTCCCAAAAAAAAAAAAAAAAAAAAAAAAAGGGTAAATTAAACAGATGCTAAATGGTATACTCGTCTGTTGCAGTAAAAAGGTTTAATCACCATAAGAGCCTAATGTAATCATTGGGACGCAGTGTATACCATAACAAAAACTGTGTATAAACGGAAATAGTTCTTCGTTATAATACAAATTATAGCGGTTTGGATAATATATTTCTATTATATATCTTCGTGTTTAGCAAAGTTATCTATACTCATTTGACCGT